TCTTGGAAGATAAATTTGAAGATATGGAAAAAAAGATGGAAATTTCACAAGATGATATTCTTATGTCTCAGTACAGGGAAATGGAATATGCCCTGAGAATCAGGGGTCTGAAAGAAGATATGAATCAAGATTTGATAGAGATGGTGGTTAATGATCTTGCTCTTGTTTTGAATAGGGATAAAGATGGATTACGTAGAGAAGTGGAAAAAATTTACAGAGTTAACTCTTGGGTTGCGAAGCAAAAGAATTTACCAAGAGATGTGGTGATTTATTTTGCCAAGAGATCTCTGCGTAATGAAATCATACAAGCCTTTTATAATAAGAGGTTCCAGATTGCTGCCCAAGATGTCATCATTCTAAAGGAAATCCCATCTAAAATTTTAAGAAATAGAAAAGATTTTGCTTTTTTAGCTAATGAACTAAAAACAAGATTGATGCCATTCAGATGGGAGATTCCGATGGGTATTGTTTTGAGCCATGCGGGGACACGTTACAGACTTAATACTGTTACTAAAGCAAAAGAGTTTTATAATTCAGTCCTGGGAGCAGGCTCATCTTCACTCATGATTCAGAAAGTTTTGGATGGCAAAGAGGTGGAACAGCAGTCTGAAGGATTAGGTTTGATGGTTGCTGGAAAGTCACAGGTTGAATGGTCTCGACAAACAGAGATCAAAGAGCAAAGAATGACTCGTGCTGCACATAGACACAAGGAAAAGGAACAACAAAAGAAAGAAGTCAAAGAATCTTCTCAAGAAAGTGTCTCATTGCCGGTGGGAGGAGCAAGACCCAAGAGCTCTGCAACACATTCTTCAATGGCAGACCTTCAGGTAGTCTTCTCCAGGCTTCTGGTTAAGGGAGATGGTAAAGTTCCTGACCTGGAATGTTAACGGCCTCAACTCCCCTCAGAAGAGAAAGAAAATCTTTCATTACTTAAAGCAACACAACAATGATATTATTTGTTTGCAGGAAACACATATTTTACCTAAAGATCAAAAATACTTAGTCAATGCTCATTTGGGATCTCATTTTGTATCTTCTGCTCCTGGGAAAAAAGGGGGTGTAGTTATCTATGTTAAGCAAAACTTACCAGTCTGTTTGGTAGAATCAGATCCTCAAGGAAGATATGTTATGATTGAACTTGGTTTATATGGTAAGAAAATACTTATAGTGGGATTGTACGCACCAAACCAACAACAGGAACAATTTTATAGACTGCTACATCAGAAACTAAGTTCGTTGGACTATAGATCTGTGATATTAATGGGAGATTGGAATGGTGTTTTAGATACACAAAGGGATAAAAAAGGATTTTCTACTTTTTTCAAACAGGCTAAATTACCCAAAGCTTTTTTTGATTTGAAAGAGGACTGGGAGCTGAGAGATTATTGGCGTGAACGTAACCAAGAGGAGAGAGACTTCACCTTCTTTTCAGATAGACATCAATCCTTCTCAAGAATTGACTTTTTCTTGATTACAACTGACTTATATTTCAGGGTAAAGAATGTAAAATTTTTTCCTAGGTCGTTGACGGATCATAGTCCAGTTTGGATGGAGTTGGCTGATGAAAAAGAGGAGAGGAGATTGTGGAGGGTGAGAATGAGAACTTATTTAAACAAGAAAAGAATGTTCAAAAATTAAAGGAGCATTTAAAGGATTATTTTGCTTTAAACATGCATAAGGGAACTTCAATATCAATGGTATGGGATGCAGGTAAAGCTTTCATGCATGGGATTTTGATAAAAATGAATAATGTTTATAGACAAAAGCAGATTCAGAAACGTAAGGAAATGGAAGATGAGATTAAATTAAAAGAAAAGTCTTTGATTTTAAATCCTACAGATGAAAAGGTTAAAGAATCTATAAAGTTGTTAAAAACACAATTTAATATGTTGATGGCGGATCAAACCGCAACTAATTTATTGTTTAGAAACAAAATACATTTTGCAATGCTAATAAACCAGGGAGATGGTTGGCTTATCAATTAAGAAAGAAACAGAGACAGAGAATTATAGATAAAATAAATTATAATGGTAAATTAGTTTATCAGAAGGAGTTGATTAAGAAATCTCTTTTAGATTATTATCAAAAATTATATAAGAGTACTAATGTACAAACTTTAGATATAAATAATTATTTAAGTGAGGCCAACTTCCCTAAATTAACAGAAGATCAGAAACAAGAAATTAATGGTTTAATCACCAATGAGGAAATTTTGACAGTTATTAAGCAATTAAAATTAGGTAAAGCACCGGGTACGGATGGTTTGACATCCATTTATTATAAAACCTTGGTAGAAGAGATGATTCAACCTTTATGTGAGCTTTTTAATAATATACTACAGGGCTCAAAGATTCCTCCGTCATGGCGTAGAGCTTTTATATCTTTGATTCCAAAAGAGGATCAAGATCTCACTTTACCGAAGAATTATAGGCCCATATCTCTTTTAAATGTAAATTATAAGATTTCTGTAAAAATTTTAGCTAATAGGCTTATGAGGGTTTTGCATAAGCTTATACATAAGGACCAATCGGGTTTTATAACTGGTAGGTATATGAAGAATAATGTTAGACAAATTATTAATTTATTAGAATATTTAGATAAGAATAACCAAATTTCCGCAGGGCTGATATTTTTAGATGCTGAAAAAGCTTTTGATCAATTGAATTGGCAGTTTATGTTAAGATTAATTGAGGAAAAGAATTTTGGAGAAAAAATATCACAAGCTTTTGGTGCTATATATCAAAAACAAACGGCACAACTTATTGTTAATGGGGGTTTGTCAGAGGTTTTTACAATAGAAAAAGGTACAAAACAGGGATGTCCATTGTCACCGTTACTGTTTGTTTTAACTCTGGAAATTTTGTTGATCAAAATTCGAGAGTCGCAGGAAATAAAAGGAATAGAAGTTAACAAAAAAGAATATAAATTAAGAGCTTTTGCAGATGACTTGGTGGTTACTTTGTCTCAACCTACCTATTCTGTAGTAAATTTATTACAACTGATTTACCAATATGGACGGGTTTCGGGTTTTAAAATTAATAACAATAAGACTAAAATATTATCTAAAAACATGACTAATTTGGATAAGCAGATTTTGGTTAATCTGACAGACTTTGAAGTTGTTGATAAGATAAAATATCTGGGGGTTACCCTATCTGTTTCTAATGTAAAATTGTATAAAAACAATTATGAAAGGCTGTGGGTCAGGGTACAAAAAGATTTGAAAAATTGGGAGAAGTTACAGTTATCTCTTATGGGAAGAATTGCAGTGATTAAAATGAATGTCCTGCCAAAATTTCTCTTTTTATTTCAAATGTTACCTATTTTAAAGAATGAGGTTAATTTAAATGAATGGCAGAAAGGTATCAACAAATTTATTTGGGCAGGGAAAAAACCAAGGGTAAAGCTTAAAATTATGCAAGACTTCCGTGAGAGAGGTGGACTCAAGGTACCGAATCTGAAATTATATTATGATGCTGTGGCTTTAACACTAATTAGTGATTGGGTTGATTTAACAAATGTAGAAATACTCCATTTGGAGGGTTGGGATTTACTTTTTGGATGGCATGCCTATCTAATTTTTAATAAAAAAGTGGATCGGGTTTTTAAATCTCATATTATAAGGATTTCTTTACTTCGGGTTTGGAGGAAATATTATAAAAGTGAGTTTAAAATACCATTATGGGCTATACCTTGGCATGCGATAGAGGGGATAAGAAGAGGAGTTAAGATGGATAGTGTTTCTTATGCGCAATTACTCAGGTGGGATGGTAAAAATTGGCAGTTAAAATCTTTGGAAGATTTAGCACATGAAAATATTATATATTCATAGTTTCAGTATAGACAAATAGCTGATAGATGGAAGATAGATCGTAATGTGGGTCTGCTCAGAGAAGATGAAAATCTTTTTAAACAAGTAAAAGATCAAAGGCGAACTCACATTAAGAGAATTTATGGGGTGCTAGTAGAACTGGACTCAGAATCAGAACTAATTAAAGAATGTATGATTAAATGGGCACAAAATTTTGGTGAACCAGTTCTACTAGATACCTGGGAAACCATCTGGGTGAGGAATGTTAAATTTACACAAGCCCAGAACTTAAGGGAGAATTTTTACAAAATGTTTTACAGATGGCACCTTGATCCACAAAAAATGTCTCGTATGTATCCTGACTTACAGCCTAAATGTTGGAGATGTGGTTGTTTGGATGCTACTTATTATCATATTTGGTGGTCGTGTAAAAATATAAAAGTCTTTTGGATTAAGATATGGTGGAATATTCAAAGAATTTTTAGAAAGAGGGTAAAATTTACCCCACAATTATTTTTGTTAGATATTGTTACTGATTGTGATGCTAAGGAAGTTATATTGATGTTAAATTTGATTACGGCCGCTAGGCTGTTAGTAGGGCAATATTGGAAGAAGGAATCTTTGCCTACCTTGCAAGAGTGGTTTTTTAAAGTTTCTTATTTGGCGGAAATGGCAAAGATTTCGGCTTTCTTAAAGGAGCAATCGCAAGAGAAATTCTTTGCGGTATGGGAAAAATGGATAAATTTTATACAATATAAATTGGATATAAAAAATATCATTTAGCTTTTTAATAACTTGTATATAAATTTTAATATTTTATAGATTGTACTTTTTTATATCTCTTTTCTTCTTTCTCTTTTTTTTTCTTTTTTATTATCTTTTTTTCTTTCAAGTACTTTTTCCTTTTAATATGTATGCTTTTTTAATATATATTTTATTGTTAATTATTTTATAAATTGTTTATGTAAGGTATTTAGATATATTTATGATTTATATTTTTTCAATTTTTTTAGGATTTCTAAAAATTTTAATTAAGCCTATACTCAGCTCTGGGAAGATCGGGGGGGGATGGAGAGGGAGGGTTGGGGTGGGTGGGTGAAGGTTGTTTTTTTTTCTTTTTTTTGCTTTTTGTAAAAATATCTAAAAAATTTCAATAAATAAATAAATAAATAAATAAATGCTAACTTACCACATTAGGAGCTGGATGTTCATTTTTTCCCCTTCCTGTTTACACTGAATATTTCTCTAGGAATTAATTAAAAGACTGCTCTGACAGCTGTCTTGCCCTTCTATTTTCCAGCAGTCTACGTAATCTGCCATACTCAGTATAAAAGTTGAATGTTTCATTACATGCTTTGCTCTTTAAGGCCATTTAAATGACTGCTCTTCTGCCTATAATCAAAAACAAAATGATTTAAGAAAATAATCTACCAGGAATTAGAAAGGATGTCTACTATACATATAAAAATGAGGTTAATAGCAATATCTTTAGATCCACAATTGGAACAGGTCACTAATTACACAAATACAAAATTTCTTTCAGCAGTATATCATTTTTATATTAAGATGTGCTCTTTGTCCATTTTTGACTTCCTGCATTTACAATTTAAAAGGAAATTAATACAGGCTAAAGTTTATATTTTATTCATTTGATTTCTTTTCTGCAATATTCACACATGCAGCATTGCAGAATTAAACATTTCAACCATGTTTCCAACCTGCTGGATGCAAAAGAAGCAGAGAAGAAATTGAGGGACTTATATTTATCTATATATAGGACCTCTATGTTCAGAGGACGACAGTCTTCACAGCCTGGGTTCACATAATATATTCATTGGACTATTGAACCCAGACTGTGTGATTAATTTATAATTGTGAATCCATATCATCCAGCAAACCATGTCTCAGTTCACCAGGAATTAGTGCAATGTGTATACAGAACCACACTGTCAAGATCAGAAGCAAATTATAATTACAGAACAGTTTAAACAACACTTTAAGTACTAGTTCTACTTTAACAGATAAGAATTGTTCCCCAAAACTACTTGCTCTGGAATAAGGATGGATGGAACAGTTTCATAAGTTTTGGTGATCAATACTAGGTTTATGTAGGAGTTTCTGGCTCCCAATTGTTTAATATTGCTATCTAAAATGGATGTAGCTTGAGGAAAACAAGAAGTGGACTTGGGGAATAAAAGAACTGTGATGAACTGTTACTGAAAATAAATTATTTGGCTAAATGTATTCTTAAATGTACTTCTTTAAACCTTGATGCATCATCCCTTCTGCATCCTATTTCTAACTGATAGATCTTGGAGTCCACCTGAGTTCCAACTACATAGATCTGGTACAAAAAACTCTCCCACTAATTCTCTACAATTCATTTTATTTATTAAATCTATATGCCACCCATCTCACTATTAAAGTGACTCCAGGAGGCTTACAACACAATTTATATTATACAATTATTTTTCTAGTACTGAAACCATCTGGGGATCTCTACACTGAATGAGAATGAAAATATTTTATTGATGAATAAGTATTTTCAAATTCTGATTGGTACTACCATAAAAACCTGGGCTCACACATAGTATTATATGGTTTGCATGGCTCTGGTTTAGTACGCTGTGTGAACTTAGCTGATGTGATTTGTAAATTATAACCTATGCTGGATCTGAGTATGAAATAATAACAGTAATAATGCAACCCAGGTTTGATAGCTCTATTTTTTAACTCCTGGTAGCACAACATTCTGACTTAAGATCTACAGGGTTAATAACTTGAATACAGACTAGTTATTATGGAACAAAGATAAATGTGTTCTCTTTGGCTAAATCCCACATATTTGGAACTCATCAAGACAGGAAGAATGGTCAACTTTTAACACATGAGGACAGCCAAAATAATTGTTATAAAATATAAATCTATTCCTCATTTGCTGCATTGGATTTTGGTAATACTTGACTATTAGTCTTCAAATTAGAGTTGCATTTCTTTTATTCAAAGTGAGAGACAATTGGGTGGCTTTGGGCCAGTCACTCTCCCTCACTCCTAAAGAGGTGGCAATGGCAAATCACTTTTGAAAAACCTTGCCAAGAAACTATTACTTCAGGAGTCAACACTGGCACACAACACTTTTGTGAAGGCACAAAAAAATCCCTACCTATTCTGTGGCTACTTCCACATAGAGCAGGGGTCTTCAAACTTGGCCCTTTTATGACTTGTGGACTTCCAACTCCTAGAATTCCTCAGCCAGGCACAAGCTTTGAAGACCCCTGACATAGAGGTTGTTCTGTTCTGGCTAAATAGGTTGCACCCACTTTGGCTTGTACCTCTGGGCTCCCTTGTAGCTAATGGTTCTGAAAACCTGCCCGAGTCCATGAAAACTGAGACAATGGATAAATCACATAAGTGAAATAATTTCTGTACTATTTTTTTTTTAAAAAACCAACAGCATCCCCATCAAAAGCACTTCAGAGAAGGGAAGTTTTCAGTCTTTGCATACTAGTTGCGTATTTACGCCTATCTGAATTAAACGTGCAAAAACTGAGCACTTAAAAGAACCCTGATTTTAGGAGATTAGCCAAGATTTCTACTTCTGCATCCTCAGGAGGGAGGCCACAATGAATATTCCTGGAGATAAAGCACAAGGTGACTCAAGTAATAAGATTTAGGGCGGAGGTATTTAGAGTCTGGGGGCTTCTAGATTCCACAACACGCGGTCCCTTTAAATTTGAGTTGTGGGAATGGGCTCTCTAACCAGTCGTGCAGCAGGCAGTGTTGTTCCAGGCATTCCTTCCTCGAGAACCGGAGGACTCCTTTCCCCCTCAGAGGCGGCTGCAGCCGGGGTTCCGAAGCTCGCTCGTCTCGTTAGTGCGCACGTGAACCTCCACGTGTCCCGGAGGGCGGGGACTGTAGAAAATTAGAACGCGCTTTGATGCTCTCCTCTTTAAGGGATTAGCAATCTTTTGCGGCTGGGGAGGAGACTGAGAAATCTTCGCTTGTAAAATAATGAGCAGAGAAACATTTACTGATTAGTATAATTCGGGATAATCCGATCTGATGAGCGTATATCAAGATATCCTTTAACTGATTTACTGTCAAATGGTCCGGTCGGAGCGCAATGTATTTCTGTCTTTTTTTTTTTTTTTTGGTTTTGTTGCTATCACTTTTTGTTGGCAATAAAATAAACAAGGATTTTAATTCGTGGGAACTGGCGAATGAGATGCCGGGACGCCCCCCCCCCCAAACAATCACAAAACTCCACCCGAAGAATTCAAACGAGCGAAAGGCCGCCAGAGAGCCAGCAAGCCGGGTGCCACGTTTGTTAACTTCTCTGGAGGGGCGCTCTCTCGCTGCAGGGCTCCGGCGGGCGCGTGGATCTAATCACATCTCTGTCCCTCTAACGTGCTGGAGAAGGTTTAAAAGTCTTACTCCCTTTCCTCTGTCTATCGGCTTTCTCTTGCATTTAGGCTTTTATGTTTTATAAACTGATTAGAAGCAATTATATGTACTTATCCCTCAACTTTCCAAATGACTTGGCCATATGCATATTTAAGGCTTCCTCATCCCGCCTGGAGCTCAGCCTTTAGCGTAAAACAGCTGAAATTAAGCTGATTCTGGTGGCACGTTAAAAAAAAAAGTCCTTATCCACTAATATCTGGTCGGATAGGAAATTCGTTGTGGCCGGTGGTCGGATTACCGCTTCTCTAATTACTACACCGGATTTGCTCCCACGCTCTAGTAGTGAAAGTCTGTTTCCACAAAATGACTGGAAAACTGAGCGTGGCTGTACTTGCAGAAATGAGCAAAAGTGCATGTCCGCTTCTTTAGAAAGAGAGATGGAAAGAAGGTATATGAATGACATGACTCAAAATAAGGCCGAGGGTGGTCTAAAGTAGGGACAAACGCGGGAGGGATCAAAAAGCTGTACAGTAGGTGCGATCAGGTGCGTCATGAAATAAATCTACCCAAACCGATGGTGCGCTGTGTTGAACTTTTACTTCTCACAATACTCAACCATCATTGTTTAGAATTATGAGAAGCCCAACTCTGGAGGATCCGATCCACATTGGGGAAGATTTTGTGAAAGTAGCAGAGTCAGATGGATGGGAAACAAGCTGTGGCTCTTTCTCTAAGGACTAAGGACTCAACAAACATTTCTGCAGAATATTTTTGAAAAAAGGAAAAGGGTTTTCTTTTAGGTTGTTCAGTGAGGTCTTGTGTCTTTTTTAGAAATGTTTACTTGATAACTTCAACCAATCTGGTTAAAAAAATATCAGGTCAATGCATAGAATATTTGCAAATGTATACTTATTGTATGAAGCTTTAATCTACCAATTAATTCCATGCACAAAAGTGATACTTTAAGATGCTTTTTTTAAAAAAAGCAATCAACCCACCAAAAATGATATTCTCCTGAACTATGTAAATCAGACATTCTGGTTACCATTTTAATAACCATTCTTTGTTTTAGGTTGCTCTCCCCTTATTTCCAATTTGCATAATTTCAGTTGATTTAGGGACACTATCTAGACTGGCTGAAGGCACATGTATTTGAAGCCAATTTTGTGTTTCAAGTAATATGGCTAGAAGGATAAACTAAAGATCATGTTAAAATTTCTTTCTAAAAAAAGATAATTACTACTGTCCTAAATTAACTTTTCAGCTTAGTATATCAATCCAGTGCAGCAATTGTGTTAATGCACAATTATATATAAATAGGTAAGCAGGCATATCTAATATTTTTAATTGGAGGATTGCTTGTATAAAATATAGATCAGTACATTTCCTTCATAGACATCTCTTCTTAAAATGTGTCTTGAGATGATAGAATATGGAGTATGTTATTCTTTTTATCCACCGATCCTTATATTTCATCTAATGAATTATTTTATTGTCACCTGTTAGTTCTTTAATGTGACTTCTTAAAATTCTGCAGCTATTTCCTTTTCCCCAATTGGGGCAAGCAGAGCTGCTAGGAACATTACTAGGAGCCCTAATATAGTGTTATCATTAACGAGCCTGTATAAAAGCTACTAAGTCTCTTTTTGCTTTTTTCCATTTTTCACACCTGACTAATTCAAAACAAGATTCCAGATTCTCCATATAAACAAAGGATAATAATGATCAAAGAGTAACAGTCAAAAGCAAAATCATAAACCCAAGCCATTCACATCACAATTATCTTAAATGAAAGTTATTGTTCTGCTAATCCCAAGAACAGCTTGCAAGGGGAGATTTGAGTCCTTCTTTAATAATGTAAAGTTAATACATAGTGCTCTTGTAATTATCTTTGTCAGAAAACCCTGGTTAATCTGCATGTTTAGCAGAAAAGGACCAAATCAAAAAATGATCTGATTTAGAACACTTGATGTTTGTTTGTCAATTGTTTACATAAAAAGGTGAAACAGTTAAATGCAATCCAGGTGCAAAAAATGGAAGTAGATATATAACTAGATTCCTCTACCTTGTGAGTTTATTAACCCATGTCCAGAGGTTTAACACAGAAACGCCTTTTTCCATTTCCCTTTGTGTGATAAGACATCTTGAGTGCCACCAGATTTTAGTATTAATGGATTCCATGAGAGCTAAGAATAACTTTGTCAGGGAATTGCAGCTTCACGGCTGATATCAACATGTCTCAAAGATGAACTACAGAGCTGGCAGGTTCATTTCCTCAGGCACCCAAAGCAAAAGCTGCTCAATGGAGGACGAGCATGTTCTGTTTATAAAAAACAAATGGCCCTTTTGGTCTGGTGTGTTCCACTTGTACTTGAGATTTCTGTCTTTAATGCAGATAAAAAGGAGAGAGTTAATGTATATCTCAGCTAATGTAAAATTTACGTTTAATTTTGAAACAGGAATAAAGTTGAATCTATGTTACTTATGTAAATACCACAGGTAGTACTGCAGGGGAAAAAAAGGAGAACAGCTAAGCAAGTTGCTTCCACTGTCCTGGATCCTTGTGGAATATAAAGAAATGATTGACAATCAATTAAACAAGACTGCTTACTTGAAAACTAATTCCATCTTAATTGATTGTGAAGAACATAGGAGGTGGCAAATAATACCATACATTATTTCTCCTTTTGGAGATTAATGTGTAAGACAAAATCTTTTCCTTCTGTGTTTTAGCTTTTCCATGTCCCCAAGCCTTCCACCAATAAGAATTAAGGTTTTTTTTAATGCTATTTCACTCTGAGTACTAGAATAACATAACTTGTAGTTACCTGAAGACAGGAATAATTTCACACATAGATGTTATCCACCATATAAGAAAAGAAAAAGAGAAGAGAAAAAAGAAACAGAAAAGCAGAGCACAATGAACAGGTTGAACAGGTTAAATATTGTAAATAGTTTTGTTATATGTATGCCATTTTTCTAGTAATCTATGCCTCACTGAAAATTCCAGGGATTAAAAAAAGAGCATAGCCCCAGTTTTTCATGGATGCTATTCTTTAACTTATGTTTGACTAAATTTAGTATTCTATTTAACTATTTATTTTTAAATCTTCCCAAAACAAAATATATACATGTGAAATGAAAAGGAATGGACAATGTGGAAGTTCTACTAGACAGAGAAGTTTGTATGATGCATTAAAAGGAAGGGTAGGAATGCCCATTGGAAACAGAACCATCCACAACTCTTTAGAGAAGAATGGGACTCTTGAGGTCTTGCAGTCCTTAACTAAACCATATGGAGGAACATTCAGGTCACACTCACCACTATAGATGGGCATGGCAGGGAACAGATGACAAAATGCATGACTCCTGACTGTCTATTTCATGGGTGTCAAACTCGCCATGTTACGTGAGGTGTCGTGACGTATTGCAACTTTTTTTGCATTGCTGGAGCTGGGGTGGGCGCGGCCTCTGTATGATGCAACTGGACTGCAGGCCAGCAGTTCGACACCCCTAGTCTATTTAAACTGCTATCTATTGAAAGATCTCTAACTTTCTAGCAAAGTGGGAAAGAACATACGGTAGATGTTGGGCTATATACAGTATGGCAAAGGACCAGACTGAGACATGCTGTTTTTCATGGGACTGTCCAAGGTCCTGAAGAACCTGCTTAGCCATTCCTACATCCAAGGTCTTTCTCTTTCTCCTCGACTGCCAGTCTGCCACATGGGCTGTCACTGCCAGGCCTTGCCCTGATTGTTTGCTTAGTATGAAACAATTGTTTGGGATAAGTTTCTGAACTGCCTACTTTTTGTGGTGCTGACTTGGATAGATAGAATTTGCAGATGAATCTTAACTCCTCTCTTGGTAGTGAATGATCACATTATCTGGACCATGAACCACTATTTTAGCACCGTCATTCAGTTTATTTCTGATTGATATCTTACAAATTCTTGTGCCAAAAACAAGGGACTATGACAAGAACTAGGATATCTATTCCTCTTGCCCAATAATTGAGCAAATAGCAGTGGGGATAGTGCTACAACAATTGGAGTTTGGGAGGTGAGTTGAATGGTTACCAAACCTATATTGACTCTGAACGGTGTACAAGAAATAACAACCACAATTTCAAAATGACTTTGGTAATAGCTTATCTTGCATATTCAGCTCTTCTGTATCTATTTCATTTCATTGGAGGACTAATTATATGGCTTATATTACAGACTTTGATTAAGAAAAAATGTTTTGACTAACATTGACTTTGGGTTAGAATGTTTTCCTTTTTGTTAAGGATAATTTGAAAAGGAATAATTCAGAAGTAAGATGGCAGGTGTGACCATGTGAAATCCCAACTCTTTGAAATATCTGTGAGAGCCTTTTAAAAGGTTCAGAGTTTGATCATGTGGTCTCAACTGCCTGACATTTTGACACTTCCTTTGTACACTGCTGCTTACTGTTGCTAAATTTCACAAATTTCTCGGTTTACTCAATACAGTGGACTAAACTGGCCCAAGCAAGTATGTTGTGGAAACTTATCCATAACAGCCTGATTTGGTTTTGAGTTCATGTATTGTACAAATCCAACCAGAGACTTGTTCCGATCCCCAGTGTTTAGCCTAAGATGATGCTATGATAGTCTCCTCCAAAACTAGTTTTTATTACTATTTCCCTTCAATGCCAGCCAGTGTACTAGTGATGGTGAGATGAGGGAAGCTGCAGCTCAAAATATCTGGGGGAGATCCAGATTGAAAAAATTGTTGAATAGGTTTTCTTTCAGGAAACTATATATTTGGTGTTGATTGGATGGTGTAACTTTTATTAATCCAACTCAGTGCTGGGCTGCATTAACAGAGGGATAGAATCAAGATCACGTGAAGTATTAATACCACTTTACAATGCCTTGGTAAGGCCACACTTGGAATACTGCATCCAGTTTTGGTCACCACGATGTAAAAAAGATGCTGAAACTCTAGAAAGAGTACAGAGAAGAGCAACAAAGATGATTAGGGGACTGGAGGCTAAAACATATGAGGAACGGTTGCTGGAATTGGGTATGTCTAGTTTAACGAAGGATGAGGGGTGTTCCAATATCTCAGGGGCTGCCACAAAGAAGAGGGAGTCAAGCTATTCTCCAAAGTGCCTGAAGGCAGGGCAAGAAGCAATGGATGGAAACTAATCAAGGAGAAAAGCAACCTAGAACTAAGGAGAAACTTCCTGACACTTAGAACATTTAACCAATGGAACAACCTGCCTCCAGAAGCGGTGAATGCTCCAACACTGGAAGTTTTTAAGAAGAGACTGGACAGCCATCTGTCTGAAATGGTATAGGGTTTCCTGCCTGCCTGAGCAAGGGGTTGGACTAGATGACCTCCAAGGTCCCTTCCAACTGTATATTATTATTATTATTATTATTATTATTATTATTATTATTATTATTGGATCATCATACAGTCAGCCAGATGTTCAGACTGGATTTGGCATTTTGTCTATCGAGTCTTTACCCAGGACCTGGGATAGGCAGATGTGGATGTTTGATGGTGTTACAAGTATCGTCGCAGGATGGTAGCAGTTCCATCCTGCAATTGACTGATAGCGAATTTGTCAATGCCAATGGTGTTCAAGTGTTGTTGTTGTTGTTGTTATTATTATTATTAAATATGTTGGGGACAACTTCCACTGTGGAATCATTGAATTCACTTTGAGGAAGCCTGAAAACTGAACGTCATGAAAAACAGAAATTAGAAATCTTTCTGTCGGTGTCATTAGGAAGCCCAAAACTTATTCTGCTTTTCCGCTGCAGACATGTGCTATTCTTTATGTAGGAAGGATTGAGAATGGAATCTATTCAGCTGGGTGAATCTATCCAGGGCTGCTAAAGCGCTTCGTGTTTGGGGCGGCTGCGAGCTCTGCCCGCCTTCCCACAAAGCCGGAGCGTGGGAGAAGAAGTGGAGCGCCCCCCCCCCCCAAACCCAGAGGGCCTTTGCTCAGAGCGGCTCCGACGCAGAGTGAAATCTGTCCTGGCAGCAAGCGGGGCGGGGAGGGGCGGAGAGAAAGGGGTGATCGGATTGCGGGCAAATAGGTGGCAATTAATTATCCGGGATTGGGAACCAGTTGCTGCTCCGCGCGCCCGCCCGCGCCCCCCTTCGCCGTCGCTCCCCACATTTCCCCTCTGATTGGATCCAGGCGCCGATGAGCGCGGGATATAAAGCTCCGGCCCGAGAGCCTCTTCTCCCTTCCCAACCGGCGGCGGCAGCATGACGGGCCGCGAGGAGCTCTCGGAGGGCAAAGCCAAGGGAAGCGCGCTGGCGCCCAGCAGCGCCTGTGGCCACGAGAAAGCGCGCTTGGGGGGCCCGACCGGCGGCGGCTTGCGCTCCAAGGGCTTCGCCATCACAGACCTCCTGGGCTTGGAGGCGGAGCTACAGCCGTCGGCTTGCTCGAGCTGCGAAGGCGGTGGGCCAGCTGCGGGGCGAGGAGGAGGAGGCCCTCCCTTGCCGCTGGGCTTGGGCTTCCTGTGCAGTTTTGCCACCCAGCAGCACGCGGGGGCACCTCGTCTCCTGCCCGCGCACCTCCCCTTCCTCCAGCCTCGCTCGGAGCACCAGCACCCCCGGTACGGGCCGGAAGTCGAGAAGCCCAAGTTGACCATCTCCGGTAAGCGACTCCGCCTCTGCCTTGGGTCTCGCGCTAGCGGAGAAAGCAACTTGCCGAGCAACTCTGCAGCCGTGATTCCCCAACCAGGCGCCCTGCCCGTAAGTCGGTTGGAGCCAACACCTTCGGAGGGACCTGTTGGGGACAACTATTTCACAGTAGCTGGAGAGAATCAGCTTTTTCTCCCCACACCGCGGGAAAAATCCCTGCGGGATCAAATAATGATGATCTGCTGTTCTTTATTTGCAGCCTCTAGTAAGCATAGTGGTTGGCAGCCTAGGGCCAGTTTCCCTGGTGTCTGATGAAGGGCTCTGTCCTGCCTGAAGCCTCATGGCTCAATCGATTGGTTAGCTTTTAAAGTGCCACAAGGCTCTTTTTGATGTGAATTTGGATACTACATCACTAAATTCCAAAATTTCGCTTAGAAACCCTATTTTATGGCACCATAAATGCCAAATAAATCCAGGGCACGAGTACATGTTTGCATGAGGCAAAAGAATGCATGTAGGCTCTGGCAAACAAACATGGATATTTTCCAGAAGAATACTCTATATCTTCCATGCTTTTTAGATGGTGTCCTTTGCTGCTACTGCTGCAAAAAAAATATCTTTTTCAGTATTTAATGCACATGGGAATTTAATTCATAAATTCCACAATAAATGGCTATATCTCACATGTAAAAGTAAAAGGAGTGCTTTTTAAATGCCTAAATGTGTGCCTTTAAAAACACTATGAATTATGCAACCTGCTACATACTGGCTGCATACCTGAGATAGTGGCATAGAGGTCCCCTGTTGATTCCTATGATTCGTAGACCTGTTAATAATGCCTGCTGTGCTCATAAAAGTGTGGCTAGTTTCTCTGAACTTTGCCCTTAGACCTTTCCCCACTGATGAAATTTTATTTACCTATTCTGGAATCAGCAGGAAAAAAAATCTGCCATTACCAATCCAAATTCCTGCCTCTGTTTTCTGTCCCTGCCAAACACTTGCCACTAGAGTGACAAAACTCAACAGGTTTTTTTGATGTTATCCTACCTAGGACTATGTCAGAATGGGAGGTGGGGAATAACTATAGGTAGTCCTCTAGTTATGTCCATTCATTAAGTGACTGTTCAAAGTTATAATGGGCTGAAAGATGGACTTACAATCAGTCCTCAAAGTGCTAGTCATCAGAGCACCCCCAAAATCATGTGATCAAAATTCAGGCCAGCCCACATTTATGTCTGTTGACTCCCCAATGCTTATCTGCTACACCCACCTATAGTACCCACCTTTATTCCCTAGTGCCCACCTGTAACTCTAACCCACTAACCTGCATGCCTGGGATTCCTGCTTCTTCCTGCTTAACAACCCAGTTCTGGGGATACAAAGGCAACTGCGACTGCTTGAATTGCTTCTACTCAGTTATGCAGTCATATGACATCATACTTTACGACTGCCTTAAATTCCAGTTCCAACTGCTATTTTAATCTGAGGTCTACCTGTATTTTAAAGTAATGCTGGAGTAAAATTTATTGTCCCTCTTGCTGATTCCTGTCCTGCTTCTGTTGTGCATGATAATATTTGTGATTGTGTATCAGGCAAGATGATATGTTGCATCAGGCAAGATGATCAATTTTTGCCTTACAACAAATCACTAAATGGGAAAAATCAGATTACTGCAGCAAGATTGGAAGGGGTCTGACTTCAAAACTGTGCATCAACTTCTCTAGGCTGGTTTGTCTGCCTTTCTTTCCATACCCCCTTTGGGCATTTCCCAGCTGAAAATAATGCAAAATGAAGAAACATATGGAAAGACATCAGAGCAAAAATTACCCAAGGAAGAGGAAGACAGACCTTGTACTGTTTTGCAACTGGCTAGGTCTGGTCTAGCGGATAACAAAAATTGACAAGCTGCTGAATAAGCAGCTCCATCATTTCGTGGGAAGAGGGGAAGAGATTGAAACTGACAAATACAGGGAAACTGACAAACAAATAACAAAAATTCAGTGCAACACATTATTTTGAGGACACTGAAATCTGGAAAAGTGGGTTTGCTGCATCTTAAGATAAATATGTATTTCAGAATATACTGTTAAAACAAAGTGCTTAAAAACACCCCCTGTTCTTCCCCAAATAAAAGAATTCTCTAGTCTGAGGCAAAATTGAGCTACATAAAAATATGGAATGAGGACAGTAATCAGTATAAAAGGATTTCGAGAAACAAACAGCTAATAGAGGAGGAAAAAAGTCCCAAGAAAATAATAGCTACCAAACAGAGGAAAGATCATTACCATACTTTTCATTATTTCCAAAGTACACATTTGGTTACACCTACAATAAGTCAGTTCATCTCAAAGCATTACACACACAATGGAGCTGTGCTGGTTATAGTGTTTGGGGAAAAATAGTGCTTGCATATGGGTATGTCTGGTGACAATTTAAATCTGTTTCACTCATAGCTAGAGACAAGGTTAATGTGTTGTCTGGGTATGATTGTATCATGGTAAACTGTAAACGGGAACGAGATCTAAGAAAAGCATTTTAAATTTATAATTGCTGTCCTATGTTTTCGGCCAAGAAATATGGCCTTCACCATAGCCGAAGGAGGAGCTTAGTAGTTTGAACGGGGATTTCAAGGTGGTGCTTTTTGTATCTAATAAATGTAGCTCTAAGTATCTTTTTCCCCCATTGGTGCTATCTAAAATCATGGAGATATGCATCTTCTGAAGTATGAAGGCAATTAAGATGATAAATAGTTTGAGGCAAGAGGAATGGACCTTGCTTTTGAGTGACTATAGTCAACACCTACCATTTTGAAATTAATAAAACAATCCTGTTTGGTCAGTTTGGAAGCAATGCCCATTGAGTTCAATTGAATCTGTGTACTCAGGAAAACATGCACATAGTTTACAGGCCAAGTTTCTAGAAGAATATTTCCAAGACAAACTTGATCTTCAGTGCATATGAGTATGTGTTTGAGAAATTAATGACTTGTTTCACGAATTTCTGCACTATCATTCTTAAGCCACTTCATATGATCTCACATGTCTGCAGATGGTCAACTTTACGTAATCTAGAGTTCATTTCCAACACTAGTCCCTTTTGACAAGGAAGTCAATTCCTGACAATAAAAATACACAAGGAGATGTTTAGGATTTGGATAGTGAAAAACTACATGTTCAAAGCCTCTGTCCCTCTCTCTTTCTCCTTCACAAATTTCAGGGCTTAGTACTGAAAATTAGATCTAGTCTAAAATCAATTTGAATAAAAAACTGTGACCGATATACAGCCACTCTGTAGAACATAAGGTAGAACAAAGATCTAAATAACCCAGTATTCCATAAATATCCATGGAAAGTCTACAAGCAGGACATGAGCCCAATGGCTTCTTCCTGCTATTGCTTCCCAGCAGCTGATGTTCAGAAACAGTTTATTATTATTCATTTGATTTGTGCTCTACCTTTTTTTACTGCCAACTCAAAGTGGTTAATTAAAAACAAGTTGCTCTGATATTGAAAGTAAGATATAGCTATTATATTCATTAGCCATTGATAGCCTTATCTCATCCACAATCTATTTAGCTTTGATCTCCCACACTACATCTTATGTAGCAAACTTCATAACTTTCTAAACAGCAAGATATTTACATATAAAAGAACATATATATACATTTTCCCATATGGGTGGTGTAAATATATTTACACAAGTTCATCAAAAGGCAATTCTAAAGAGACTGTTTTTATGAAAGACTTGTGGATATGGAGATATGTGAAAATATTCAACTTAAAAGAATCAATGGGATGAATAAAATAGGAGCATTCATGTAGGAGACAATGGATTAAAATATGTTGATTTATATTTTGGTAATTAGTCTTGTAGATATTAAATATTTACACCAAAATTTGGAAATTATATTTTTTGCCTCATGCATCCTATCTTCCCATGTTTCTTGTCAAACATCTGCAATAGGCATGTCGGTTCTTCCGGAGGAATAGTGGTATGCCAGATATTTAGGAAAAATTCAAACAAATTCAGATTCCATTATGTTATGGAACTCACCACTGAAAAATTTAGGCCATCACAGAGAAATTAAAGGGTGTATGTGTGAAAAAAAGAGAATACTAAGATACTACTGAGTTTTGAAAATATTACATTAGAGACAGTTCTTTGTCTTTAGTTTGGTAAAACCTGTAGGCATATGTTGAAGAGAAACCAGTTATGGATTAAAGAGAACTCAGGTGTAAATAGTTGCATTAAAGGGAACAATCATTTTCATATCATCTCTGATTTTGAATATCTTTATATTTTCATTAATATGAAAAAGCAAAGGATGATATCCTTTTGTGCTTGGGGATGGTTCTTGGTGGGATCAGCATGGTTCACTCTATTTTCTTCTCCTTTTTCTTGATCTTTTGGTAGACTGGTTGGATTGCCTCCAATTCTGCTCCTACACTAGCTTTGCAGAAATTGGCTCATTTATTCTAGCTGTTCTCCTGGTGCTGAACAGCCAAACTATCTGGCAGTACTCCTTACTCCCTAAATATTGGCTGAGAAATTTGGGAAGTCGAAGTCCATATATCTTAAAGTTATGGGGGTTGAAAAACACTTCCCTCTCCTTTTTCCTAAGGATGGACATGGGTAGAGTTGGCTGACCTATATTCCTAATGGCTGGGAAGAGAGTTTTAATCAGTGCTGGCTATTTGCCAATCCCGGTTGCTGTCCAAGATGAACTTTGTTTCTTAGTTATTGCTATATCAGGAATGATGAAGAGATTATTAGTATGTGTGTGGTATTTGTTGGTTTTTTTGGTTTTACTGCTGAATTCTTGTTAGATTTTTTAAAACTGTGAATTTAAAAAAAAACAACTTAATTTAATTATGATCCTGATTCATTTATCTAAGAAAAAGGAAAACTGAGAAATATTTTTAAAAGTAGGACTATAGAAGGAAAACAAGAATATATAAAATAATCCTACTGTATGGACCAATGCTTACAGTGAAAAAAAGATTTGACACATCTCTTCTTCCCTGCCCCTTCTCCTCCCCCGCTGTCCACCAACATCTTCAACAGATGAAGATAGTTTATCAGGAGAAAAGAACAACCTGAAGACATCTGACTCTCAGATCAAGAGAAAAAAACGGCGGCACAGGTACAAAAAGCAACTCATGCTGGATATATGGGAGCACAGCTGCAATATCTTCTGTATTAGCATTAGGATATGTTGCATTAATATTCCAAAAATTATTACAATAGCTTTATAATATATGATTACATTGACTTTTGGGTGTGGCTGTTAGCAATAGAGTTATGAATGTGAAAGGCAGGGGAAGATATAGTGGGAGACGGAGTGGGCTGCTCTCAGGGAATGCGAGACGTTCACATTCCAGCTCATTTTGCGGTCTCAATCCTGGTACCCTTTCAGCAGGCCTTAAATGCCAGGTCAGCCTGTAAGAAGTCCCACATAATGATTTAATCATTGATAAGAGGGCCAACCTGGCTTGTATTACCAAAACTAGGGTCCAAAAGGCGGACAATCTTTTTGGAGATATGCCCCTCTGGGTTTGGGGTGTGGTATCAGCCAAAGCTGTAGGGCAGGGATGGGGGTGTGATGATTATCATCTAGGAATCTTACAGCTTTAAAGAGTGCTGGACCCACAGGTCACTGGATGTGAAGCCCTGTTCATGAAATTGAGCCCTAGAGATTGGTTGGGATTCACCAGTCTCCGTGCTGTATAGCAACGTCCCTGTCTGAGCAAATTGACTTCATTTCTTGGTTGGCAGTAGAATTCCCCAGACCTCTGGTTCTAGGGAACTTCAATCCACTTTCCCTGCATGGAGGATTTTAGATAGCTCTGGAATTCATGGTTACCAAGATGACCGTGGGCTTATCCCAGATCATCCAGAACCAAACATAGAACAGCGGTTATACACCAGATGTGCTGTTCCTGTCACATAGCGCAGTGGCTATGTGAGCTGAAATTGGGGGAGCTCTAGATGTCGTCTTCGTCATGGTCAGATCACACCCTTATTTCTATGTGATTTTCTAGTGCTACTGCAGGGAGGCTGGACCCATTAGATTTGTCTGCCCCCAGTTACTGATGGACCTGATGGGTTTCAGAGGGAGCTGGGGATTGTTCCTGTTGATCTGCTGCATGATTCATCTGAAGCTGTATAGAACTACTATTAAGTCCTACTTCAGTTGCTTGGACATTACCCCTGAATTGTATCTGAAGAGGGATGAGAGGGAAGAAAGGAGAGGAGAGAGAAAAGAGTAAAGGGGAGAAGGAAATAAGAAGGTTGGAGGAGGAGAAGAGAAGTGGGGAGAAAGGGGAGGAGAGTGGTGAAGGAAAGAGAAGAGGAGAGGAAGAAGAGGAAAGAGAAGAAAGGGAGAAAGAAGGTAGAGAAGGAGTGTGGATACAGTGAAAGGGAAAATGGGCGAGCAACACCAAAAGTCATGTGTATGTATTTATTTCATTTTATTAAAAGTATCTTATATATGAATGTAAAAAGAATGTATGTTAACATCTGATAAATATCACGGTATATGTATGGGGGAGAGTTTGGAAAAATAAAAAATAAAAAAATATTATTATTAAAAGTCCTATTTTGTGGCATTAAGGGTGGTGAAGTGTCAGTACTTCACCCTTATTGCATCTGCAGATAGCCGCCCTGCAGTAATAAGAACCATCTTGGGTAAGGGAGGCTTATGAACCTCTTGCAGGAGTATGCAGAGGAATTTATTCAGAATCAGCTGGAGAGAGTAACTTGGATTTGCTTGCAGATGGACACTGGCCTTGTTACAGGTTCATAGGAGATGCTTGGAAAAGAATCTTGCTCAGTTATCTGGGAACAGTTTGAACCTGTTGGACTTGAGAAAGTGGATAGGTCCTTAAAACTGTGGGCTTAGCCACCTGTTCTTTAGATCCATGCCTTTACTAGCTTGTTAAAATGGGCCAGGGGAGTATTGTGTGAGTGGATTTCAGCAGTGGTTAACTCTTCTTTGAGTGAGGGCTTCCTTTACTTCTTAAAGAAGATTTGGTTTGCCCCTTCTCAGGAAGCCAGCACTAAAGCCCACCAGAGTGAATAATTTTTGTCCAGTATCTAACTTCCCGTGTTTGGGGAAGGTGATTGAGAAGATGGTTGTAAAACAGTTTTGGAGGACCTTGGATGAATCCGATTATTTGATCCTTTTCAGTCAGCATTCAAACCTGGGTATAAGACTATAACAGTATTGCTCATGCTTTTGGATGATCTCTGGTGTGGGTGGGATGGGGGTTCTACATCAGTTCTTGCCCTATTTAACCTCTTGGCAGCTTTTTATACCATTGAACATGGTCTCCTTCTGGATTGGCTCAATGGAGCACACAACACCAAGGGGCACTCAGAAGAGTATGTGGAACAGTGTTGTACTAAGTCATCACTTTTCTCTCTGGTCAATTCCAGTAGGTAGTGATTGGGGAGGAGAGGTCCCATTCTTTTTAAAAAGACTGTTTTTGCTCCCTATTAGAGCACTCGTATGGTGTTATCTTGTATGGTGATGAAATGTTTGTAAGAAAACAATCAAGCTCAGTAAGCATTAAGGGCCCCCCTAGATTAAATACAACTTTTAGTTTATACATCTGGTTCTACAGGAGCATATGTACAGGTACATATATATTTACAGCATACGTACAGGTATAGTATAGGGGGTACCTTGCTCAATAGTAGTGACTGTGAGAGGGACCTCGGAGTCCTAGTGGACAATCAATAAAATATGAGCCAGCAGTGTGCTGCAGCTGCCAAAAAGGCCAATACAGTGCTAGGCTGCATTAACAGAGGGATAGAATCAAGATCACGTGAAGTATTAATACCACTTTACAATGCCTTGGTAAGGCCACACTTGGAATACTGCATCCAGTTTTGGTCACCACGATGTAAAAAAGATGTTGAGACTCTAGAAAGAGTACAGAGAAGAGCAAAAAAGATGATTAGGGGACTGGAGGCTAAAGCATATAAGGAACGGCTGCTGGAATTGGGTATGTCTAGTTTAATGAAGAGAAGGACAAGGGGGGACATGATAGCAGTATTCCAATATCTCAGGGGCTGCCACAAAGAAGAGGGAGTCAAGCTATTTTCCAAGGTGCATGAAGGCAGGACAAGAAGCAACGGATGGAAACTAATCAAGGAGAAAAGCAACCTAGAACTAAGGAGAAACTTCCCGACAGTTAGAACAATTAACCAGTGGAACAACCTGCTTCCAGAAGCGGTGAATGCTCCAACACTGGAAGTTTTTAAGAAGAGACTGGACAGCCATTTATCTGAAATGGTATAGGGTTTCCTGTCTGAGCAGGGGGTTGGACTAGATGACCTCCAAGGTCCCTTCCAACTTTATTATTATTATTATTATTACTATTATTATTTCTCATTTAAGATGCTGCATTGGACTGTTTTTTATTTTTGTCCTTATAGGACTGTGTTCACTGCCCATCAGTTGGAGGAATTGGAAAAAGCATTTAATGAAGCTCATTACCCTGATGTATATTCCAGAGAAATGTTAGCAATGAAAACTGAATTGCCTGAGGATAGAATACAGGTAGGTTGTTTTGTGTCCAGTGCCACCGGATTTGTTTGATACAATAGACAAACGTAAGGCCCGGACTCTTCCAGACCTACCTAGGTTTGACGTTTCCAAGATGGTTTTACAGAAGATATTGAAGAATGTCCAGGGCTTGAAAACATAGCAGAGAAAAGGGCTGGGGCGTCTAGCAAGATGGTAGCAAGATCTGACCACTCCGTTTTTATGTGTGTGTCACATGTGTGACACAGGGATTTGAATGAACCATCATGACTTTTTAGACTGTATCATGCAGACATTCCAGAAGAAGGGCTTGCTCTATAAGTAGCTGCTATTGCAACTCACATCTAGAACTGATTTTGTTTTTTTCTCTCTTTGGGAAAATTTAATTCAGAACCATTTGAAATTGACATTTATGGGTTCAGGGGAGGCTAGATGAAAGTCTCTAAGAAATTATGCTACCTTTGCAAATCTTGCCACAGTAGAGAAGGCTAAGTTAAATAATCTATTGGTCATTTGACTGTTATTCAACATGAGTACAGTTTGACTGAGTAAACTTTTTAGATCTACAGAAAAACATTGGTAAGATATTATTTGCAATCTATAACATACTTTATCTCAGGGTTTTCACATCAATCCTTTATCTCAGGGTTGACTTGAAAAATGATAAAATACAAATAGGCCTGTGAATCTAAATTTTGGAAACAGAGAATGATTGGCTACTTTTTGGTTTATTTATAGAGGGAGAGGCCCACTTAAATATTAATATGCTATCATAATGAAATTGTAGAGTATGACTGTACTTTAAAATTTTCTCATCTGAATCCTGATTTGAAAAGAGAGGCCAAACTTTCTCTATGTACATGTGGCTGTTTATTGTTTGGTACAAAACAGAGATGTACCCTCTACCCTCCAAAACTGAGTGTTTACCTGAAAATTGGCCAAAAGGGAAGTATTCAATGCATTGGGCAGGGGGGCTTTCCATCAATTCTATTGAATTAAATTACAAATAATTAAATAGTTTTTGCCATTCTTTCTCACTTTTAGGATTGCTGTTTTCTTCATACTACTCAAAAGCTGCATGTTGCCTTAGCCTGAAAAAATATTATCCAGTCCTGTATAGAACATGGACCCTATGCATTCACTGTCCAGCAGGATTAAATTTTAGAGAAAGAAGCCTCATGAAAGTGTCTGTGGATATTTTCAATCATCCAATCATGGTTGTCCCCAAATGTGCTTTTTAAAAGGCAACCGGACTTTCTTGTTTTTTTTTTCCTTGAAGACATTTTGCTTCTCACCAAGAGTTCTCAGAATCGAAGAAGCTTCTTGGATGAGAAGCGAAACATCTTCAAGGAAAAAAAAAACAAGGAAGTCCAGTTGCCTTTTGAAAAGCACTTTTGGGACAAGCCTAATAAAAAAAATAAGTATAAGGGTTTAGTATATTAATAGCAACAGGAAATGGAAATCAACCTATTAGTTGACTTCTCCAAGCAATATCTTCACATAAAAACCAATGAAAGGATAAGGAAAATATTGTTATTCCAGTAGGAATGAATTAGACAATTTTTTGATTTGACAAAAGGCTTGTAAATCCCTTTGTTTTATTTATGCTGACCAAGTGATCAGTAAGTTTTGTTCATCTGCCATGTTTGTTTAATATACTGTTCTCTCCCCTCCTTTCAATCCCACTCAAGCATATTATTGCTAAATGTGTGTTTCTGGTTCTACTTTTGAAAGGTTTGGTTTCAAAACCGAAGAGCCAAGTGGCGGAAGCGTGAGAAATGTTGGGGCCGCAGTAGTGTGATGGCCGAATATGGTCTCTACGGTGCCATGGTGAGGCACTCCATCCCACTTCCAGAATCAATTATCAATTCTGCCAAAAGTGGAATGGTTGGTTCCTGTGCCCCTTGGTTGTTGGGTAAGTGTGTCTATAGTGTTGTCAGTGTATAGGTGGTTAATATTTGACTACATGGAAAAATGACTAAGTACTATTGTTTCCTGTTGAAAGTATCCTTTTCCTTCTTTCACACAGGCTAAATTGATGACTAGCAGTAGAATGACCCTTTAAAACGTTGCACTTGGTAACATCATTACAGAGGTTATTAAATCTGCCTTCTAATTCTAATGGAGGGTAGTGGGTCTTCTCTTAACAAGAATCCTATATTGTGTCTGTACAAATAGTCTTTGACTTATGACCATTTGTTTAGCAACAAGGACAGCACTGTTAGAGGCTTGTAACTGATCCTTACACTTACAATGGTCATAACATCCCTGCGATCATGATTTCGGGTGCTTGGCCACCATCATGCATTTACAATAGTCACAGCATTTCATTTGCAAGTTGCAATTGCCTGATGTCTTGCTTATTGACTGTGATTCACTGAACAACCATACCGCAATAGGTTAAAAATCAGATGCGGTCACATTATGCTTCACTTAACAACCTTGCTGCTTAATGATGAATTTTCTGGTAGGTATTGTGGTCGTAAATTAAGGATTACCTGATTGTAGTAGTTAACTGTGCACATATCTGCATGTGAGTGCCTATTCAATATATACATAACACACACACGTGTCTGTGCAAAAGCACATGCAGACACAATACACATATTTTAAATTTCTTACTTTCTGCCTATAGTTACCCATAACATTTTCTGTTCTAAGAAAGCTAAATTTTTGTGAGTAGTGGAATTTGGTATTTCTTACCATTCATATAATCTGACATGCAGTTTTCAGGTTTGAGAAACATTAACTGATCTTCATAATTTAATATAAATGTAATGTGAGCTACAGAACCATGTATGTATGTATGTATTATTTTTTTTTATTCTACTGCTATTACTTTTATAAGTAACTCAAGATGGCAAGCATACATAATACTCTTTTCTCCTCCTGTTTTCCCCACAACAACCACCTTGTGAGGTGGGTTGGGTGAGAGAGAGTTTCCTCTTGATCATAGCTTAAACCTCCTGAAGACCTCCCCTCCTGAAAACTGATATTTTAGCTTTCACACAAAACTAGATCTATTCATCCATGAGAAACAGAAACTACTGCGTTTATTTCGTGTTTCTTCTAGATGGGTCCAAAAAAAAGGGAGCAAAAAGGATTTTTTCTTTCCCTGTTTCTGAGTATTACAACAAGTGGCCCAGGAATTGAATTACTGCATAATTGCATTGATCTATTGGGTGTACAGGATGATTGTGTAATAAAACTGAATTTTTATTTCTTTTAGGAATGCATAAAAAATCAATAAATATTATAAGAAAGCCTGAGAACGAGGAAAAAGGAAATGGCAGCTGGAAATCTGAACATCCTGAGGAGGAATTCATAATTAAGCAGACAGAATATGAACGAAACCCCACTAATAAATTAATCTCAACGGACAGTTCAGAAGATATTGCAATTGATCTTTCTAGTACGGCAAAGCAGGAAAAAAAGATCAGCAATCTGAGTTTTGGTGGGAGCCCACAGCCCAAAATGAAAGATGCTGAACACTAAGGACCTGGAGGGGCAACACGAAACATTTAAATTGGCCTCTTCAATGGTCTAGCAAAATATGAGTATTATTGCTCTATGCTTATTTATTAGTTTTTTTTTCAAGTGACTCATTCATTTTACGTGCAAAGGGGACTTTCTAAGGTGGGATATATCCAAGATATAATTTATTTTTACAAATTGAAAGTTGTATATTTGTAAAGAAGATAATTTGCTGTAGCTGGATATTTTTTCTTTATATATCTCACTAAGTCACCTTTCACCCAAAGTCTAAAAATAGCATTTGGTTCCATTTTTGGCAGAGAGGCAAATAACTACCCAATCATTTAATGAATCTCACTCCATCAAGTAAGTAGAATTATCAATGAAAACAATATGCAATATATTTCTGCTAAATTAAACCAAAGTAGAAAATTATAAAAAGATTTGATTTTTTTTTCAGAAATGATCATTCTCCTTACCTGCGTATGGATATTTAATAATGAACGATAAATTGGAATATTTATGTGATAAAGCAAATAATAAGAAACACTTTTCTGAAATTATCTGATACCCTCCTGATGCGTTGGAAACACAATTCCTAGAATTCTCTACCAGCTTGGAAATTCAGATAAACCCGTCCTGATAGTCATTTGCAGTGGACTTAGAAGCATGTCTGGCTTCAGCTGGTTTAACAGTGGCAAAAGTAGCAGAAAGTAGCAGAAGCAGACTTTCTCTTTCTTCTTCATTAAAATGCTAATATACATTGGATAAAGAAACAGATCTCTGTGTGAAAATATTTATTAATAATAAATATCATTTAATTTCAAGTATCTTTTTGCACTAGACTCCAGTTGGAGAAACTCAGGTTTCTTGTAAAATGTAAAGTAGTTCCTATAAACATTATGTCTGGCTATTTCTACTGTATTGTAAAAGCAATATTTATTAGTGCAGTTAGATGTCTCATATGTACAGTATACGTGATATACAGAACAAGGGAAATGAAGAACCTTGATGAAAATTTGCTAATAGCAACCAAGAAGTTATTGTGCTTGACAGATCTGCACTGAAAGTTGTAAATTGCTGATACTGTTCTGATTTAATGCTGATCAGAACCCTCTTGACCATCTTGAAAGTTCTATGGAATAATATGGAGTTATAATTAAGTTAAATGCTCAAATTTTCCTTTGAAAATCAAAGAATACCATGCTCACCTTTAAAAATGAGAGGGAAATATTGGTCCATAACAAAACACAAAGCTGAATTAATTTTCATGGCATACAATATCAATTCCTGATCCCTAACAGGATAGAGCTACATTTTATTACATGGAATTATGGTGTATAGATCAGAACTCAGTTATTGGCTAGTTTGTGGCCTTCTTTAAATTCCAGGCCCAGCAGCTTTATTCACCAAGGGTTATGAGAATGATGGTCTAACAACATATAAATGTTTTCAGGTTGCTCTCTTTTTCTTACAAGATGTTGTATTATAGATTTTGGTGTTTGCATTAGGACATCCAATAGTCCAACTGCTGCAAGCTTACAAAAACATACATTTCTTTTATCCCCAGTTACACGATTTCATTACATATTATTTTTAAAAACTAAGAAAATTAATATTTTTTACCAATGTTTTCAGCATAAAGTATAGTCCTCTGCTTTCTACTACAAAACTGTATTGGGGAAACAATATGCAATAACTCCAATTTATGTTATATGACACGCTATGCATAATTGAACACAAATCTGTATTTATAGAGAAAAAAGCCATAGAATCCAGAAATAAAATATAATTTTATAAGATGTCATAGAAAAATATTTTGTACTTATTCTGCATGGAAGAATATCAACATTTGATCTTTTCCCTTTGGCCTTTTTATATGTACATCTAAAAAGCACTTTGGATATCTACCTGCTTTGTTTGTCAACTATTTATTTATATATATTCATAATAAATGCTAGTGTTTTGTGGCTTTTTGGAGATGTATATTAGCTGTTGGACAGTATGCTAACTTCTAAAGGCAGTGCCAGATGGCCATGTTAAAATGCAATCCGCCAGTCCTACTTAGAGGCTTAGGGACATGGAAAGGAATTCATTTTCATGAGACATATATACTGTATCTGCATCCATTTTTGTTTATTTTTAAATATACTTGAAGAGTTAAAATAGAAAAAAGACAACGAGGAGGGGAAAAAGAATACATTAAAAATATACAAATAACAATTCTATGAAGTATTTACAAAATATTAAAAAGTTCCACTATAAATGGAATATTAGATTGCAACAGATAGTCATACAACAGTTTAGAATTCTAAGAACTATTATTAGAATAAGATTAGAGATTGACAAAAACGGTTGAAATAATAAAATTTCAAAATAAGATTTAACAATTTCCAATGAATCTGAAGCAGTTCATCTTTCATTTTATGCTCAATCAGACAAAATCTAGTGTTTAAAAATGTTGGAACCCAAACTTTGGATGTAGAAGAAGTTTATCTGCAGAATCATAAACTTTATAAACTTCATAGTTTCCAAGTTAAAGTTAGCACCAAGCTTGAAAATATGAAATTATTTGTTGACAGTAAAATATATTCTATAAATTTAATCTTCCTGGGATTGCATGTAATTTCCAGTGGAAGGCAGAGTACCTAAGAAGCAGTTACATATAAAGCCAGTGTAGCATATTTTGTAAGAATATAAATGCTGATGAGGCAACAGAAAAACAACTAGCAGAAAAAGAATCTTTGTTTCATCCTTAAATAACTGTTCCCCCAATTGCTAAGCTTTGTAACATTACTATTAGATACAAAAGAATGATCCAACCTTCCATTAAATATATGTATGATAGTCTTATTATAAATGTAGAATTATATTAACTTTAGAGTCATGCTGAGTTTACTGAATGAATTATTAAACCCTTTGGGCAAAGGGAGTATTGGGAACTAATAGTAAACTCAGCATCTTGTTAAAATCCATATTTATATAATGAAGAGAAAGGAAAAGGATCTTCTTGGCTGGAGCCAAAGCTACTCTTCTTGTTGTTTTCTCTGGCAAGAAAATAAATGTCACAGAACATGGGGTTCTGAATGACCCAAGGAATTAGAAGAGATAACAGAGATATCAAGAGGTATCTATTTTTGCTTCTACAGTTCTGATCTTCTGGTATTTTTGTTGGCCATGGAGGAGTATAGTAAAAGAATAAAGCATACATTTATTCAGAAACAATGGAAGGTTCAGGGATGAGATAAAAAAAAAAACTACAAAAGCTTTTTCCTCTGAACATGTTGGCTAAAGGTAGAAGGAACTGTGACCAAGCAATATCTGAGGATCTTAAAGGTGAGAAAGAAACTAAATGCAAGGACTCAAAAACCAGAACAACTGATATCAGCAGAAAATGAAACACACCAGAATGAAAAATAAGATCTCATTTGCAGTCCATATGGCAAGATGAATGGGTTGAGGAAACAAAAGACTAGAGATGGGATGAATTGTCAGCAAAGATGGAGCAAAAAGTTTAGAATATTAAAATGAGATAAGAAAGAGGTGGGCTTTACACTTTTCACTAAACCTATTCCAACAACATATTTAATACAATCAGACACTAAACCCATCAAATTTCCTTACTTATGGTTTTGTCAGCATACAGTCACGCTATCTAGTCAAAACTTACCACTTTGGGATTATAAAGAACCTCTTAGATATTGGAACACTGCTACCATGTCATCCCTAGTCCTTCTTTTCATTAAACTAGACATACCAAATTCCTGCAATTGTTCTTCATATGTTTTAGTCTATTCATTCCCCTAATCATGATTGTTGCTCTTCTCTGTAGTTGTTTATGGAGATTCTTGTTCATCCAGGGTTCATTCAAGGTGCTTTCTTAGGAGCCAGCTGGACTTTCTTGTTTTTCTTTGAAGATGTTTCACTTCTCATGCAAGAAGCTTCTTCAGCTCTGACTAGATGGTGGGGAATGGAAGGATTTATATTCATTGAAGACACCTGGTCATTTGCATTCTTTTACATCTTCGGGACAACCATGACCTGGATGACTAAGACTCTCCATAGTCATTTAGCTATGCACTTTGCCATTCAGTGTCTAAATGTAATTCCAAGAGCGGATTATTACCTATAAACAAAAGCCCTATATGATAACCTCGGATATCTGATGGACTGCTTGTCTCCACTTGTTTCTGCCTAACCTGTATGCTCCAGAAAAGTGGGTGTGCACCAAGATTCCTCTATTATGCAATCTTGTGGGAAATTTTGTTTCAAAACATTAAAAATCAAAACACCAAAAAGCAACGATTATGTTACTTAGAGTATAAATTCCAGTTGTGTATAAAGATGAGCATGTGTAGACAGATCTTTCATAAAAATGTTAATCAGAATAGTTCTGTGAAGCATTTTTAGAACATTCATAGGATAAAAAAATAATAGGATCAAGGAATGGTTTGAATTGCCCTCAAAACACTTACAGATGTATTGGATATGATAGCAAGAAATAGAAGCTTAAAATTATTTGTGTAAACTAAAATGTTAATTTTCTAAGTGAAACTGCAGGATATATGATAAAATAACGATTAGCAAAAGCTTATTTAATCAGAAATTAGGCTTTACAAGAGCAGAAGTTTGGCACATTTAAAACCTAATCCTGATTCAACAGCATCTGCAGACAAATTGATCTGGGCTGTGTAATGCTGGCACCAGCAATAGTTTGCACGTATGACCAAACCTCTATAATGATGCAGATGGCATGTCTCTTTTTGCTTATTACATTCGAAAACAGCTACCAATTCTCGATAAAAATATAAAAGGTGATAAAACACAAAATAAAAAAATACTCAGTTTAAACTTGCAAATACTTTTGCATTTTGGACACAAAGTAAATGGCAGAATTGTCCTCTTTATAATAGCTTTTATTTGTGACATCTCTCTGGAGAAAATAGATGAATACCTAAAGAAACAAAATTTACTGAGGATTACAGAGCAGAAACAGATTATGAATGAATTTATAACAATAAGGGGAGTTTGTGTGAAGCTATAAAAAAGATCTAACTAGGTAAGGTGCCTGGACCTGATGGATTCTTATACTTATTATAGATTCTTATTATAAATGTTTTGAGGATGAACTTCTATATCTTTGCAAAATACAATGAACTCTATCTTATGGAAAGGAAAGATGCCAGAGAGTTGGAAAGAGAGAGACTGAAATAGCAACAATACCTAAAGAGGGACAAGATTTGAGTTTAACAAGAAACTATAGGCCTATACAGTATCATTATTTATTGATTGATCAAATTTATATGGTCGCCCATTTCATGGAAAGTGACTCTGGATGGCATACAACAATCCAATACAATAGTAAATATATAAAACAATAATTACCTAAAATATAGTATTTATACAAGAAATATTTTTAAAATGCATAAAAACTATAACAGTAGAACTAAAACTAGAAAAGAAAATAATACACTACACAAAGAGATGTTAATAATAATAGAGCCCCTCACAAGTTTGCCTGACTCTGAGAGTCTCCAGGCCTGCTGGCATAACCAGGTTTTGAGGAACCTTTGAAAGCTCAGGAATGATGAAGCTGACCTCATCTCAGAGGGGGGGGGAAAGGAGAAGATTCTATAGGGCGGGCACCACAGCAGAAAATGCCTGCCACCTAGAGTCTACCACATGTAGTTCTCTAGACTACAGATCCCCAACCTATGAGCTGCGGCCCGGGATCAGGCTGCAGGCTCTTGGCCAGCAGCCTATGGAAATAACTGGCTAGTGTGCGCACATGTGGGCATGCATCCCCCCACTCGTGCTAGCACCTGTGGCCCTGTTTGTGCATGCGTGCGGGTGCTAACGGGGCCACTAGCGCCAGGCGAGTGTGCGTGGCTCATTTGTGCATGCGTGAACAGGGTTGCTAGCCGCTGTGGGGGTGCGCAGCCATTTGCACATGCGTATGATGCCAGTGCATGGTGCATGTGTGAATGGGGCCACTAGTGCCGCACCAGTGCGTGTGGCCCTGTTTGTGTGCGCACACACCAATTTGGAAGCTGCTTTTTTTCCCTCCGGGCCGCAAGCCCAGAAAAGTTGGAGACCTCTGCTCTAGACAATAGAACCTGTAAACATACCTATTCTATTGGATTTTGTGGGATGGACAGATGAAATTGGGAAGAGGCAGTCCCTCAAATAACCTAATGCCTTGCATGACTTTACAGGTGAACAGCAGCACCTTGAATTGGACCTGGAAACAAACTGGTAACTAAGGTAGTTTGTGCAGCAGAGATGTGATGTGTGCTCTAACAGTTATGTGAAACACACATTATTGCTTGCACTGCTACATTCTGCAGTAGTTGAAGTTTCTGGATACACTTCAGGGGCAGCCCCAATTAAGGGCATGAGTGATTGTGATTAGAGCCCCTTGATCCAGAAACAGGTGCAACTGACAAACAATATGAAGGTGTGCAGCTACAACTGCCACCTGCTCCTCAAGCAGGAGTTGTGAATCCAGAAAGAACCCCCCCTCCAAATTGCTTGCAAGATCTGTTTGGGCAGTGCAACTTCATCCATCACCAAAAATGGTGTAGATCTAGAACTAGAACAAGATCCAAAGTTATTCAGTTTTGCCATGGTTCAGTTGGAGCCTGTTGTTTCCCATCCACACCTTAATTGCCTCCAGACACTGGGATAGGATGTCCACTGCATTGTTTAATTCACCAGGAGCAGATGTATAAGATGGGTATCATTAGCATACTAATGATTATTGAATAATGACTACAAGTTGTTTACCACAATTCTGGCTGATAGACTGAAAATAATTTTGCAAGAATTTATTTATGAGGATCCAGTGTGGGTTTTTACCCAAAAGACAGTTAAAGGATAATATTAGAAATGTGTTGGGCATTTTGGAATATTAGCAATATAATGAAAAACAACCTGCATTGATTTTTGTAGAAA